TTTTTCCCCCCTACAACCCAGACAGGCAGGTTAAATTCAGTTTTCCAAATAAACAGCCTCCTACCCTGAGAATCTCTCTTTTTTTTTTTTTTTTTTTTTTTTTTTTTTAGGAACTGAGCTACAAAGTGATGGGAGGCTGGCAAAACATTCCTCATCAGCTGTTTCTTTTGGTCCCCAGCTTAGTTCTGCTTACTTAGTCCAACGTCACCTTCCTCTTGATCCAGCTCATTTGGGGGCCGATGGTGAAAGATGCGGTTTATGAGAAGTCCAATGTGGCTCAGGAGGATGAAAGGTGGAGGCAGCCATGGCTTCTCATGGTAGGTCATAATGTAGCGGTACCGGTTGTACTTCCAGAGCTTGTTTGATATGGATTTCAAATCAAAATAAACATTACTGAGAAGAGAGATAGAGGGGTAAGGAGGGTAAAACACTCCTGTGAGGAACACTTCCCACTCAGCACAAGATGCTTGTCTACAGATCTAATTTGACACTGAAGAAAAGTCCCATCCCTCCAGTGAGGTAAATCAGCTCAGCAACTTTCATTTAACAAAGCAGCAGCATGTGCCTGCAGCTACTGCACTGAGAATGAGATCTTCAAAGCTGCCTAACGGATTTGGAGATCCAATTCCCATTCACATTAATGGGAACTGGGCAAAAAATATCCCTGAAGTGGCTTTGAAATCTCAGCCAGATTATTTTAACTTTAATACATAGCTTAACTGAGAATTCAGCGTTGTCTGCCTCTTTGGACTGGATTAAATGTAAGAAATTCTTTTGCAGGGTACTCTTTGGAACCATGGTGTTACTGAATGTGACTGTTGTTGCACTGAATAATTTCCCATGTCTGTTATCACAGAACCAAGTACAGGAAAGCAACTTTGTGGTTTCTGGCACTGTAATTTCAGTTGCACCATTATACTACACACCCAGCATATAATCACACAAACATCAGCTTTGCTTCTGGGAGCATAATTAAATAGGTTGCTCATACCCATTTTTGGTCCCACTTCTGGAACAATCAAATCACTAGGCAGAAGATTTAACATATCATCATTGCTGAAGGTTTAAATCTAGAAATAATTCAAATTACAATTTCACAGCTGTGTATTTAAAAAAAAAATTATGCCTTGCCACAATTTCAGGAAGGGGATTTCTAATTGGAAGTGGGAATAGAATGAGTTTTGATCGTTTGGTTTTCTTGAATATTAATAACTATATTTCTTCATTTGAAATTTTTTTAATCTACAGCTGACCTTTTCTTCTCTGGAAATACTAGAACTCTAGGAAAAAATAATTAACTACTTGGGTTAGACTGCTCTTTACTAATAATTTACAGAACTTTATCCATTACAAGGGTTTCCCTGTTAAAACTCAAAAGGTTACCATTACTATAAAGACACTGATTAATTACTACAGAATTACTATGAATTACTATAGAATTACTATAAAGACCCTTCCTACTCTGGCGGCAGACATTAAAAAGCAGATAGTTAAAAATACTACAGTTAGATTTCAGTCTAGAACATATCAAATTGCACTAAACAACAGGAATTTTCAGATTATTTCCTAAAGGAAGAGCATGCTCCTTCAAAGTCATTATCCTCTTCCCTGGAATACCTTCTCCACTTATCTACCAATTTAAATCTTGGGCTGCCCTATGATGAACATTATATAGGCTCTCAGCATAACAAATACAACTCTTAGGAACAAAGGACAAATTACTTCAGATCTGAATTAATGTTGCTTGTTTGCCCACTGGAGTTGTCCACTTTCACAGAGTCAGACTCTGTTTAAATGGCAAAACAGTTCAGGTGTCTGCTCACCATCCCCTTCCTCCCACCCTCTTGCTTTGATCATTTTTTTTTTTATTTCTTTCTGGACCCCCAGGGAAGATGGGGTAACAGCCACCATCAACATGCCCCTGCTGGGGCATTTTTGGTGAAAGGCTTTTGTGGAAGTGTTGGCAGAACACCTATTAGTTGCTCTTGCTTTTGCAGCAATATACCATGGTACCTACTTAAAGAAAGCAATAAGCAAGTTGACCATGATTATGTACTGCACGAAGAGGTAGACCGCTTGGAGGAACGGCGTGAGGAAGGAGCCCGGAGGACAGTCTTCATTGGTTTCACAGACTGAAAGTGAAGGACATACAGAACATGGTTAGCATGGAAATCAGAGCAGAGCACTTCAATGGCATGTGCTCCTTGTTTGCCCCAGCAAGAAACAGAATAGTCTTCATTACTTTCACGGAGATGATACATTACTAATTTTCCAACTAAAAAGTCTGCCTCCATGTAAGGGAGATCTGAGAGCCCTTCATGATACTACTGCTCCATAGTTTCCACTGCAATTCAGAAGCCGTAGACACCTTTTCATGCATATCAGTTTTTATGCCAGTCACCCTGACTTTTTGTTAAGGGGAAGAATGATGCAGCTGAAATGTATTTGGGAGGTGGCACACACTCGAGTAAACTGAAATCCAAATCTTTGATCCTTAAAGCAAAGATTTCACTGACTCCAATGTGGAAAGGATACAGCACAAAGGCTGCTTTATCAGTACTGGAGTGTTATGCCTTTAGAGCTTCAGTAAGATCATATTAATTCATATGCAAAAGGATATATGGCTACGAATATTTGTGAGATGAAGCAAGAAATTAAGGGATCCCTCTTAATGTTTTTACATTGTCAAAATAAATACTTTTCAGTCTTTGTAATTTTTAATCAAATTTTACACCTTTGAGGAAATTTGAAAGCACATTTATAAGCCAGCAGCCCTAAATTCAGGACATATTCTGCAGCATAAAGAGTCATTAGAGAAATCGTAGCTTTATTTGGGAAGTATCAAATTTCTAAAGGTTCAGCATTAATAAATGATTAAATGGATTAAACTGTGAAACTTAACAGTGTGCTTTCATTAAAGAAAATACATAGCCACCATGTGACTGTTTCAGTAATAATAACGGATGCAACATCTTAAATTATTTTAATGAATCGCGTCTATGCTAAGAACTACATATTTTAAATATCTGTATCTATTTGCATACCTACTTTTCTACTTTAGGGACTGTTTTACTTGTACCCATCACTTAGTAGCATGATAGTGCCTTCCATCTGTAATCCTGAAATACCTCCTGGAGGGCCTGGTTCTTCTCTCTTACTGAGACAAGGTCAAAGTAATAATCAAGATACAACATTTTTCCTATTTACATTGATCAGTTCTATTCTTCCTATGTTTAACTGGTTTATCTGTTTAAGAATGATGCCAGTTAACTCCTACTATGGTGAAAAATAATTTTTCTTTCTTATTTTTCCTTTTTGTTTTCCGTTTATTTTTTTCTTCCTTTAATGCAACTTTGTAGTCTTTTCTCCAAGAGATCAGCAGCTTTGGATTCACCTAATTGGAAATGCATTTCACTGCCAGATCCCCTGACCATGAACTAGCTTAGTATTAGTTCCTATGTGCTTTGCTCTGAACTTTGCAATATACTTCATTTGAAAAGCTAAACTTGAAGGTTTTAAAGCTTAATTTTTATTTTTAACAAATAAACTAATATTCTCACCTTTATTCATGCAGTATTACTCATTAAAGACACATCTATACTTGAATCAAAATTGTTTGAGAAAGAATAGACTCAATATGTGGTCAAAATTCTAATAGCCCGAAATGGACATGTTTCTGCACATATTAAATTTAAGCTGTTGACCTGTACTGTGAAAATTACCTACCATCTATTTCTCCAGCATAGACCTCACCAAACATCATCCAGTAAGGCTGAAACACAATATCTCGTGCCAGAGACCAAGAAGGAGGCTCCTCTGGTGAAAGGATTGCCTTTCGTGACACTCCAAAACTCAACAGGACTATGGCCATCATGATCACAATATAGAACATGTTTGCTGTCTGGAAGACATGTATGCATGAAAGAATTAGCTGTGTTAATTATATGTAAAGGAGACATACATTTTAGGGAAGAGTATCAATCACTTCTTTTACAAATCAGAATATGAAAACAGGGCTAATAATCTAATATGCTGGAGGAAATAAAAATATTTTATTTCTATGACTTGGACTACCTAAGTATTTTATAGGGGTTAAAGTCATTCTGGACGAAAAAGGTCACAAGTCCTACTTGCCTCTCAGGTCCCTCTTATGATCTTAAGCAAGATCTGAAAAATGCAGAGACCTTATGATGGTGCTTTTCTTCAGTGGTATTTCTTCCAAACTGAGAGCAAGAAATAGCAGTGAAAATGATTTTGCCTTCTAACATTGAATCAGAATTACTATGCAAAACAGAATATAAAAGTATTAATAAGATAGTTCCCAATAACGGAGGGAAATTACAGTGGGAATCTGCAGATGTCCCTCAAGACTAGGCAGCAGTTCAGCAGCAGTTCTTATACCAAAAGAGAAAAAAAAATTAACTTTGATCTCAGAGAAATTTTCCTTGTTAAAAAGGGATATAATTATTTGAATCAAAATGTAAAATAATAATGAGACAGTTTCCAAGAGCTAGGGGAATTATCTATAGTAGTGAGCCTGTCTGCAAGATACAGTGATTTTTCTTTCTCCTATTACCAAGCTGGATCAGAAACTCAAATCAAATGCAACTCTTCTCTAAGGAATGAAGAAAAAATGGCTTTTGTGAATAAATTCAAATAATGAATAAATTAGAGAGAACTGAAATCTGGTTATGGTCAACTCACAAACAGAAAAAGATACAGTATTTTCACATAATACATTCACTATGAATTATTAGGTGACCTCTCCTTTGACCATTGTTCTTTTCTGTCTCTTCTGATCTTTACATGTTCCTCAACAGACGCCTGAACTACAAAAATATTGCTCCAAAGCATAATACTTACCATTTTCCCAATCATTGTCAGGTATGGGCCAGCATGCTGATTCACAGCAAAAAGATCAAGGAGCCGAACATACCAAAATATTATATCCAAGCAGTAAAGTAGCCTCCCCGCAGTTTGAACAGGGGGGTCGGACCAGCGCAAACCAAAACCAATCATAAACAGGATGATAGCTACAGAATCAGTAAAATTCCAGTATTCATAAATCCACACCTTCACTTTTTGGCGGAATTTTCCAGGTTCTGAGATAAATACCTGAGTAGAATGCGGAAAAAAAAATTCCAACAAAACTCCATTAAAATCACAGATACATTTTTTAACCTTTTCTGTCTGAACTGTTTCATGATATTTGGGAATGTATCGGGGTTTTTCCTTTTTTTTTTTTGCAGGCCCGTGTACTACATATTGCTGTTCACCATTAACTGAGGTTTGTACTTAATCTATAGCGTCATATTGCTCAAGTATGCCACACCAAATAGGATAGCTCTTCCTAAGGAAAAACGGATTCTGAGCCTGAACCCATTCACTAAAGAGCACGTTCCTCAGCGGGAAAGAGCAGCCAATATAGAACTGTTATGCATACGTGTCATTACAAATTAACAAGCATTTTCTAGAGGAATGGTCACAACCTGCAACAGCCCTTTCAAAAGCCCCTAAGTCATGGAAAATACCAACCTAACCTTGCTGATGGGAAAATAACTAATGCCTTTTATTTCAGACTTAAAATATAAAGAAAGATCCTTGTATTTCACCAAGGACATACTAAAAAAAGGAGTGCTGGCAACTAGCAAGGTAAAGAATGAAATGTTCACTCCTTGAACTGTGAGGTGCCCCAAAGGGATTTTAAGCTTCACCGAGCAAATGTGTGAAATGGAATCTTTGGGAGGCCATAAATAAAACCTTTGCACATTGTGCAAGTGAGGCCAATTATGCAGTGCTATGTAAGATCACACCGATAAGTACCAAGCAAAGGAGCGATTTTGAAATGTTACGCCCTGATCCTGTAAGAATTTACGCATATGAACACACTAATGTAAACAAGTGATCCTACTCAATTCAGTTGGACTAACTCACATAAGGAATGTGTTACAGGATCAGGGCCTAAGGCTTTAACAATTAGTTGATACAATCTAGAGAAATAAAGGTTAGCAGTTATATATAACAAGGCCCTCAGCAGTTAATTAGCTGCACATGTAAGACACAGTGTCCTACAAAGTCTTTGCCAGCAGAACAGAACTATACATGGACAAAGAAAATAAAGTAGAAGACATGAATTTCACAGTCTCCAATGAATGTTAATGCTAGAAAGATGGGCTGATGCTTCTCGTGTCCCACCATCAACACGATGCAACAGCATAACAGTGATTTCCAAAATGCTTGAGATTTCACATTAAATTTTTTTTCTCAACTAGACAATCCTTGTGTAGATTTTTTCAATTTTATCTCATGCAGCCACAGAACTTGTATGTTTATGCAGGTTTCAATATATTCCCAGCATTTCTGCTGCCCCTTGAAATCCTTCACCTCTCTCGTTCTGATGTTGCAGTCTTCTGGGTGATCTGTTGTAACAGCATCACTCAGAACTGTGACTACTTTTTTGCAGTTTTATTCCTCTAAAAGTACAGCACTTCAAAGGCCATATAAAAGACAATTCACACTACTATTGTTTACTATGTGTTGATTCTACAGTGAAGATGTCCAATCAGGTACCATAATTTCAGAAATACGTGGCTGCATTTGTCCCCAACCTCAGGTTTGGAGTGCAAGTTGTGTTCAGAAGCTTGGATCTAATCAACTGCAAATAATTGCAATTAATTTTGATTGGAGTATCATTTTTCGATGCTCAGTAAATCCAGCATTACAAGTTGATGGTGTTTTTTTTCCAGTTTCATTTACCGAGGGTCAGTTAGACTTGATAGAGAGCCATAGATTATTCTGTGCATAACACCTATTGATTGATAACAATGTCCACATTCAAAGTAAATATCTAAAGACAAATTCCATATTCATTATAAGAAATCTAATGGTCCACTCAAAAAAATTAAGAAACAGGTGCCTACATTGGGGTTCGAAATCTCAATGCAGCACAACCACTCTCAAGCGACCTGCACTTTACCACTGGCTTTACACAGAAAATTAGAGATTTAAGGACAAACTTTAAGATGCACTTTCAAAGCCCAAGTACTGGTCTTCAAATAAAAGACTTCCTAGAAATAAATGCCCTGTGTAATTCTTTCCTCTGCTAAATTCTCTACAAAAAGAATGCAGGATTTGGCACTCTTCTGTTTATGGTATTCTCTGGTTTATAATATATCCTCTATAGATGGGAAGTGTGAATGGAAAAGCTTACCTCCCTGACTTTTTCAATAGCAGTGCTGAAAATATAAATGATAACGAGCCACTCTTGCACACTCGGTCTTGGTTCCATCTTCACCAACACAGTGTAAGTGAAGAGCATGAGAAACGCCATGTACGCCATCTACAAAACACACCGTACATAATCTGTATGCACAAAAAACTCCAAAAAAATTCTGCAAACATATCAACAAGTGATTAGCCTGACTATATGTATTCAAACTGTTGGGGCACTGTCAGATTTTTGAGGCCAAAATCCTTCCTTCAGTTCTCCAAGGTATTTTTTATGGGAATATCCTTAAACATCATTTGGAAATTGGTGCTTTAGTGCTGAAAAAATGGGAGCAGAAGATGAACTATTGCAGGGCATGCTCACCTAGGCCCCAAACCCATATATGAGACAGACTATTTTATCTGCACACCATTAATTGAATGTAAAGGCAGTGCTATGCTTTTATCCTAATCTTCTGTAGGAGCAAGTAACCATTCTCAAAGCTACGTGAATCACTGCTGGTTAATCAGTGCCTTCCATAACAAAGGAAGAACAATATCAGGTGGAAAGCACATATTTTAAAGGTACAAGAACATGCTATAAACATATCTGAGGTAATAGATTAACAACCTATAAAACAGTTAACGACACCCTGTTAAAGGTGTCACAATTTATGTACATGGTGGACTGACCCAACAGGCAGCCTCATCTTAAACATCCTAAGCTCTACTGACACAAGGTTAGTTACTCAAATTGATTTAATAAATGCATATTTCTCTATAGAAATGATCTCCTACAATTAATATTCACTCCTTCAGAAAGAGTTCCTAAAGAAAGGGACACAAATATCTGTGAGAGATTTAAAGTACTTAAGGCCAGCTTCATATCTATCTCTACCCGTGCAATTAACCACTGTAAAAAGCTGTGCTTGGGTTTTTCTTTAGTTCCTTATAACTGTTTTTTTGTTCTTTTTTTTCCTAATGCAGCTGCATGATTTTAGAAGAAAAACTTTTCATTTAATTGTGAGAGAAATATTCAAATGTCTTCCCATCCACACCCACCACTAAATGGCTGCAAATCCATGCTAGGCAAAGTAAAAGCAGCATCAAGTGGTATTTGAAGGATCAAAGGAGGGTTTTGGTAATTCAAGTCCTAGCATGATGACCAACCGTGTGAAACCAGAACTTGACAATTGGTGCGTTGTAGAACTCATAGATTTTTCTAGTGCCAGGCAGGTTTCCTTGTCCACTGTCCACTTGGCTTTCATCAGACTTCTGAGCAATCTTCTCCACATCATAATCCTTCTTTAAAAGGAAACAGCATTTTATAAGTATGAAACCATGGTCTATGATTGCAAAGGTTCTGTCATGTTAGAGGGAAGACAGGCACAGATGTATAAGCTCTGTTCTGAATATATAAACCATTACTGTAGCTTGATTTTTTCTGGTTACAAACATCTCATTTGCAATAATTAACATGCACACTTTTCCACTATAAATACTCATTTAGAGTTTGCTTTTATGACTGCAGGTACTGGACTGGGTGTCAGCAGACCTGAATCCACTCTGTTTCTGCCACAAACTTCTTTAAGTCTTTAAGCAAAGTCATTTAATCTCTCTGTGTCCCACTTTCCCCATCTGTGAAATACAGATAAATAACAACTCCCAATATGACATAACTGTCTTAGCTAGAACTCCACTGACACCTGTGGCATATTCTGGAGTAAGGGAATGAACATCACATTTCTGCTCATGTATACAGTTGCACAGAAAATGTCAAGACAGTGAAATTCTAAATACAGAACCTAATTGCTATTTTTGATGTATTGTATGCCTGATTAGAAGATGAGGATGAAATAAGTACTCTCTTACGAAGATCTGCCTACAAAAAATACAGGTAACTTCTTCATTATCTTCAGTAAAATTAAAAAAAAAATATCAAAAATTAAAAAAAGAAAAAGCAAACACACTTGATTCTGTATCCAGAGTTTGACACTTGTCTGAGTACCCCTCTTAAAGTACAAATATCTGATTGCTGCTGAAGCCTAAGAAGAGTAGCAGACACACAGCAGCAGGTAACTGACAAAACCAGAAGGTGCTGAAAGGAGTTTTCAGAGATGAAGGAGAGAGGCCTGGGGTGACTACAAATAGCTAATGGCTGGGCAAGACTGAGGGAACCAAACTACCTTGTTCAGTTTTGTTTCATTGCTGGCGAATTGCCTTGGCTAATATCAATGCTAAAACTTACTGCTACTAGACATCTGCAGCATAGCACTTTTTGTGACATATTTATCCCTACTACACAACATTTCTTTGGGTTATCAGGGGAAAACTGATCTTTTTTCATCACATTAGACTCAGGAAAGTGCTAAATCAGAGAACTTGATACACAGAATCATCCCACTGTGTTAACATCAGATCCTCCAAGGTGAAGGAGAGAATTTGTCCCATGAAAGAGTGCAACTTCCAGCTGCAGCAGGTCACTGGAATTTATGACTGTGTGTGAAAGATGTACTATGAGGTACATGTACACTATTGAAATTTTCTGTACATTTTTCTATAATATTTCATATCAGAGTATTTAAGAAAAAGTAGTAGCTTGGCCTTTTGTTTCAAACAACACTCTATATTAGATAAAATCAGAAGTTAAGCTTATTGCTAGCACAGGAAGGAAGCAGCCCTGTCTCCGGCAGGTCAGAAAAGTGCTTACACTCATTGCTGTGTTGCCTTCTAACAAACTGCAGGGGTGGTCTTGCTGCAAATAATTACTATTGGCCTGTCTTCTGTATCATAGCTGTTACCTAACCCCATAAAAAGCATTTGTGAACTGACTATATTAGACAGGCACTGCAGGAAATAATGGCTTTGAGCATTTTTCTGCATCAGAGAGAGAAAACCCAAGTGTGGCATTGACAGGCCTACCGTGCTGCTGCAAAAGCCCTCAACAACAATCCACTCTCTTTCATTTTACACAAATTGAAAGTTAACTGAGAAGGTCCCAAGCAACCTACAGTGCTTATCTGCTGCAAGATAAGCAGAGCAGAGCAAAAAAGATTGCCTGACAGCTCTCACTTGACAATCCTGTTGTCATTGGTTAGCAACTCACCAACATCTACCCTTTTGGACGGAAATTCTCTGTGTCTGCTGTCTACCTCAGACTAAAAACTATTTGAAATTTTCAGTTTAAGGAATGCTTTGTGGAGACTGAGAAAAAGAAAGGACCGTCAATTCTGCTTAGCAGAAGTCTGGAGGAATTCAGATCTTAAAAGGCAAAGACTTCACTTATGCTGGAGACTCTCCACAGACAGGCCTAAGAAGGACTTTTGCGCAACCACAGGTCCCTGCAGAGTGTTTCAGGACTCAGTTCAGGTGACTAAACCAAAAGCACAGTGCTTCTCTTGTGCTTTAAATGGCATCTCTCCTAGGCTCAAGTGATGCAGAAGTAGAGATACTCTGTTTTTCAACAAGGAGGGCAGGAGCTAAACCTCTGGAAGGGCTATGATTGTAATTCAGGAACCAGAATCTCAAGGAGAGACTAAGAGAGAAGGATGGCCATGGAGAAGGGGAGAGGCTGCAGCTGAGATGCGGGGCAGAGGCTGCTAGCCAGGCAGAGCAGGAGGAAGGAGTGAGTTGGAGAGGATGGGATGTGGACTGCCTGAGTTCTGCTGTTTCTCTGCTTTGGACAGCTTGACTGGGCAACCTGAATTGAGTTTCATGGATGTGATTTTGTGTATGATATGAAAGCATTCTTATATTATTTAATATATAAGATCACATAGATATTTACCTGCAGCTTGAATAGACTTTGTGCCCTAAAATACTTGTGTAACTGACAGATAATTATAATCTCATTATACTTCTGTGAGGTTAGGAAGGATTTTATCATTATGACCAGTACAGAAGTGACACCCAGGACAGATGAAGTGACTTGTCCAAGGTCAGGTCACTTCAGTCTGTATCCAAACCAGGGATCAAACCCCTACTTCTTGAGAACTGGGCCCTGACATTCCCAGCTGATCACCTTCTCCTCACTCCTCAGGATTATACCGTGGTAAACAGACACACAAATGACTGACCATTGCAGACTAACCAGAGACAAGGCATCTTTAGAGCTGACTGTGCTCTGATCCCCATGATACCATGTGAACTGGTGGAAGTCTTGAGACTGAGGCACATGAGACATTTCTGCCTTGCTTTTAAACTCCAGCATCAAGATGGTGGGAGGCAGAAGAATACTCATAATGACCTAAAAGAGAGACACAAGATTCAGAAAATTAATTCAGCAGTGATAGCATAGACCTGAGGCCATAGTCAGCTATGCACGGTGCCACCACAAACCCAGTCCAATTCCACTGGCCTGGGAGGGAGCCACTGGTGCAGGGAATCTCTGTATCACACTCCTACAGCCTCTGAAGAAGTGTGTTGGTCTTGACTGTTTTGTGAGTTTGAAGAGTGTCACGGTACCTGGGGATACTTCAGATACTGCTCCCTATGTCCAGAGGGCATTCCTCCCATCAGCAGCTCTGCCAGAGAACCAGCAATGCAGGGCAGAGAGAGCAGGTGGGGAGAGACTGAAGGGTGCTGAGAGAATGGGAGCAGCAAAAAAACCCTCACAAAATGCATTCTCCTAATGTCATCCCACAGCTGCTTTTGGAAAGAAGTAAAACAGAAGCAAGGACTGTCTTCCCGCCCACCTTTCTTTTTTCTCCCAGACGTGCATATTCCAATTCATGCTTAAGCACATCTGTCTGAAGCTGCATTAGACACGTTCATAACCACAAAGGCATGTATAAAGCATCTAAACAGCACCTAAATGCTCAGAAAAAGCTAGAGTGATGTTACCTTAAACCAGGAGTTCTTCCGCATCTTCAGGCGTCCCATCCACATATCAGTCAGCAGCATCTGTGTGCAAGTATGGGATACAAAAGGCCGCAGCCCCACAGAAACTGCTAATTTTAAGCAAGTTGAGTTGCTCCAGTTTTTCAGTTCATAGGTCAGCAGCTTCATGGCCATCTGCTCATTTTGTTTGAATGCTTTCTCCAGCACATCTAAAGCAAGCTGCCCAAATTCCCTAGAGCAGAAAGGAATTACCAGTTGATATAACAGGCATCAGCCAAAACTCAGAATTACTGCTGCGAAGAGGTTGGTTTGAAAACTCCATTAACTAAAGTTCAGCTAACAATCTCAGTAAGTATGCCTTCTTACATTTTCCCTGTTGCTTTATCTAGTCAAAAATAATTTGGGGAGTAAATCTAACTATTTAGTTCTAATCACAAGGTTCAGGGTCATCCTGTTTTCTATTTTTTTTGTTTGTTTTGTTCTTAATCTCACTCAGCAACCAAAATGGACCCTATGAAGTTCTTTGTATTTCCTTTAACAACAGATTCATCACCACTGTGGGCAAGCATTGCAGGCAGTTGCAAAAGCTGCTACTTTTACACTGGCTCTTAAACATCTCTGTAGGGGAGACTGCTCAAGGAAGGTATACCTTCCTTTAAATTAAGCTTTGGAGCTGCATGCAAAATAAGACAGCACATCTTACTGTACTCTGAATCTGAGGCATGATGTCCACAAAGCATACAATATGTCATTAACAAGAAAAACTACCAGAAAAACATTAACATGAAACTACAAACTTGCAGAAAATTCTTGGTCTACTTCATTTGCTATTCACTCAGTTATTTCAGCATACATTTTTCTTTAGGTCTTACACAGAGCAGGATTTAAGCACTGATTTTAGTTTGCTCATTACCACATGTTACAGATCTGAAAAGTCCAACACTTATATGCCATATGGCTTTTTAACAAGTTGAACTGGAAGGGAAGCTGTAATGGAAATTTCGACCATTTAGCAGACAGTGAGCCACGCATTAGTCACCTATATTTTAATTTGCAAATATGCAACTAGGTAACACGCTAATAGCTTTCCTTTAACTCTCAACCAGACTGCACACCAATATATAACTCTGTTATATAATATGAACAGTGGGCAGCTGAAAGTATTTCTTTTACACTCCGTAGTCTGTGGCACCACTAACCTTAAAAACTCTTAATGGATTAGGAAAATATCTAACCATTCTAAGCACTGCAGAACTTTATTAACTGAAGTGAAGAGAGAACTCATACTTTGAGTACTTCTTGAGTTCTTCTGAAGTGTCATCCACCATGTTGCTCTGTTTAGCTTCATGTGCCATTGCCCTGTAGAGTTTACAAGCCACAACGGCTTTGACCATGGCTTCCTCTCCATGCTGCCAGAAGAACATTGCCATCTTCTGCCTTTTCATTAATACTGCCCAAACCAGGAGGTCATTATAGGGATAGATAAATCCAGACGACTCATAGTTCTCTGCAAAGTTTATATCCTCTTTTGATTTTTTCTTACACTTATGGAAAGCAGTGGATCTTTCCTATAATTTTTTTTTTCAAAAAAAAAAAAAAATCTCAATGAATGATGAGGTTCAGATTCATGTAAATAAAACTGCACGCAAATCTGAATTGCAAGTAGCAAACTATATGATCATTATATACATTTAAGTCATAAACCACAGCTAGGATCACATTCAGATTACCAATGACAACATTAGTGGAGGAAAAACACTCCTTGATCTGTACCCATGCCATTTATAGCCTCCCCTTCCATACTGTTGGGCAGTCTCCAAACCCCATGCTACCAAGATCCTATTTTCACTCTTTTCTTGTACTTGTGTCAAGACAGGAGAAAAAGCAATCAGTAGACTGAAATATACACCACAGACTTGTGATACTTAAAGATGACTTTCACTGTCTGCCACACTTAGAATGTAAACTTGATATACATTCATGTCTGGATATTTCTCCATTAAAGGCAAAGAAAAAGTCTTACTGGTATAAGTGAGGTTGTCTCAGTTCTATAATGTGTTCATTTTGGCTCAGACTAATTCCAATAAAGCCATTTAAATTCATTGTACTTTATGTTTTGTCTGTCAGATATATGTATGTGGCAATCTTTGCTCTTCTATCATTCTTTCTTTGAAAGAAAATACTCTGTCATTATTTTCCAGATATCAGAACTGTATCTCTTCTTAGCACGCTTACTGTAGCTACTTTAATCATGAGAATAATCATCATGAGAAAACATGGGGAAAATCAGAGAATTCCTACTCCTGCTTTCAAATAAGGAGAGTTTTCACCCATGCCTGATGTTCAGAAATGTTGTGATACTACATTTCAGTGAACGAAAGCCCTTAGCAACAAATGGAAGGAAGTTAAAAAGTGTCACAGGAGGAGTCTGAGCTTGATTTCAACATTAAAATTGCAAGACCTGTACTTCATGAACAGTGAGCAGTAAAACATTGCTTCCACTGGAATTTAAGTCGAATTATGATAACTAACAGCATGACCAACATATGTCTAAAATCTCTCAATAAAATGATTAGCAGCCTAATATGTCCTAAGCGAAGTCTGGAATAAGCAATTATCTTACCTTGTATTTGTAAGGCTGTGCTGTTCTGAAGAACTGAGAATGCAAAGTATTTTCAGCAGATCCCATTCTGCTACCTATCTGATTACTCTGATGAAGGGAATGAGATGGGCTTGGAGAAAAGCTGGAGAGCACTCTCTAGATCCAAAGGCATACCATAAAACACAAGGACAGAAATGCAAATTAGAGATTAAGTTTGCCTGTACTTATCTCTGATTGCAATGGTGCCTGTAGAAACTGATGCTATTCAAAGACTAGTGAGTCAGCAATCACTGTAACTACCACTGGAGGTTATGCCATCAAGGAAAAAATACCCTGTTTCACATCTAATTTAAAAAATATATATTTTTCTGAATCTCTAAATTCAAAATACTGATTTCCCCAATAGCATCCACCAATTACAACATCAACAGGGCTTGCACCAGATTGGAATCACCCAAACTGAAAGCTCTTCCAAGTGCCTACCCTTATAAAAAGTGCCATAAGCCCTTTAAAAGACAGAAGTTCTCTGAACTTTTTGCTGACCATTTCCTCCAAAGGATGGCATGTCTAGCATTCCTGGGCATTTTGTTCAGTGTTGACCGAGAGGGAAGAATATTACCAACTGAATCACTAACGCTCTTCCCTGCAGTTCCTAGTTATATGATCTTGTGGTTTCACCCACCCCTGTTAAGGTCGTATTTCATGAGTGTAGCGTGTTACAACTGCTCAAATATCTCTTTTTAAGCATTGTATTAAGCCAGTGACACACAGGAAGCTGTCTCTGTGTTCCTATTCACTCCAAGTAACAGTTTTCATTATTTCTTCTCATTTTCTCTGATCACCCTGAGGTTCTTCTATTAGTCATGAAAGCAGTACATGGGCATGAGATGTTTTTGTTGTTTGTTTTTTAACATATGGAACTACTTTAATCAAAGTCCAGTTCTACTCCAAAAACAGGGGAGAATTCTTATGTGGCAAATCTGCTCCTTCTGTGGTGTTGGAAATGATATTCGGCTGATTTATTGAGAAGTTTAGGCTGTTTTCAAGTTACTGGTTTTGTAAAGTCAATGGGGAAAATGAAAGTGCTAGTATGTTTGCACACTATTGCTCTGAGGCAGTTTATTTGTAGAGGTGGTGCTACTGATAGGCAGACATGGCACAATGCTATGCCGTACAGTGAAACACCTTAAGCACCTAGAAGGTGCAGAACGGCATGCATTTCCAAGCACAGCCCTCTGCCTGCACAAAGCCACTGCACCATGGGTGCAGCCTGGCACATCCAGTATGAGAATTCCCCTGTGATGACCAGTGCGTCATGGAAAAAGCTCTGCCAGGCAAACACAGCTCACTAGCCGGGGCAGGAAGATGCAGCACTAGCACTGAGCTGCTTCTAAAATGTAAGACATTTGCTCAAAACTTGGGTCAGGGATCTCCATGTTGCTCTTCACTATGCCACGCTGACATGCTCTTAGTCTAGTTCAATGCCTGTTGAATTCAGTATTTCTGTGATGCGGTTCAAGTTGCAAGAACAGAAACATGCAACTGCTTTGCAAAAGGGTGGTTGGTTGATGGATGACAGACAAAGAACAGAACCCGCCTACTGGACACAAAGGTAAATTTACTGAACTAATAGTTATTTTAACAATCACCAGTGGTCTTCGGGGGCAAGGAGTAGTTTGGGGAGGGATTTGCCTGTTTTATTTGCAACCGCTCCACAGTTGGCAAAGAGATTCATAAAACAGACAAGCATGGCATACATTTAACTGATGCTCTTCGGGCAAACTACAATGACAACCTGAGCTATTTTCAGCTGTCACATTTTGGCTTTTCTTGCTGACCAGTAGTAGCCATTTCACAGAAGTTACCTTGTGTTTTCTGTAGAGATCATTGTAGAGAATTCGGAAATGCTTCCTTGTGTAGCTGCTCCGATAAGCTCCACCAAGGAGGTACTCTATCACCAGCCCAATATCAATCAGTGATATCTTGTAATCCAAGGAAAGGGTATTCTGAAACACCAGATGTCACAAGCATTTCATGACACTATTATATGCAGCATTCAACCATGAATGAGCCCTACTACTACGAGGGGAGCCTGGAAGAAGTTGCAACTGAGAGCTCCTGCATCTGTCAGGAAAGTGTACGCGTTCATTAGGTATATGAAGCTCCCCTAGGAGGGAGAACACAGGCACATCCACATTTTCAGCCTGAAAAGTGTCATGTCTACAGTCCACTGCACTCACACTATCGACTAAGGTTTTCTTCAATAGGCTTTAGTGGCAAGACTCAGTACGGCCAGCTAAGGCCACCCAGCCCTGGGGAACTGAAGGCACCAACATGCTGAGCACACTGGGGCAAAAGCTCATCTTACAGGACAGAGCTTACCAGCTCTGTTATTGAGGGTTCAGCAAGTATTTCTGACTACCTATACTTGTAGATACTTCTCTGCACTAAAAAGCATATTTTATGCTATCAGGGCAAACTGCAATGTATCTCCATTCAAATGTAGCAGCACCAAAGCTGGTCACACTTATGGAGAAAATATTCTGAAATCCATGGTCTTATCACTCTGGTGACTGTCCTAGCTACTGTGTTACTATATTTAATAAGACTGCAACTGCACAATCCATTCACAGAGTACTTATGCATACTTACAGAAGCTCAGGTGAAAAAGGCTTTTCAGCATTTAGACCTGTTTACAGGTCCCAAGTGAGTTTAGTTTACCCAACAGCGTAGAAAGTTTTGAAACTGTGCACCCATTTTCTATGTAATTTCCACTATTCCATTTCAAGTGCCAAAAGCTTCCCTTTAGATCACACCCTAAGTTTTCCCAGAGTGTTCTGAGATGTAACCAGGCCATGGGTTTTGGGAGAGAGGTCATATCAAGGAGCAGATCACTTCGGTATCAGTGAGAAAGACAGATTTCTCAGCCTGGAAAAGATCAGTGTATTTTCAACACTGAGATCTTCCAGGTCTATCACATAAATTAGACCTCAGATATGTGCATCAGTATGGGAAAACACAGAAAATAGCTTGCTACAGAGACCAAAATACCCTACACCTATCTATAGAACCATTAATGGGATTGACATGAAAGTAACCCACAATAAGAAAATCATACCAGAAATCCCACTACTAGAGACCACAGAACTCTGCAAACAGTCAGACTTACCATTTTATTTTATCTTAGCATTCATACCCTGGAAAGAATTAGCCAATTAATCTAGTTTTGGATCTAGGCATATCCTGCAGTGTAGACTAGATGCAGAAAGAACAGCTCATCCACTCCTGGCTAAGCAGTGCTTGAGGTACAACAGGTAACAGAAACATGAAAAAACCTAACTATGTAGCTAAATAACAAGGCTGCCACTAAACTACTAATGGAGTGTCCGCGTTTCAGCTGGGATAGAGTTAATTTTCTTCCTAGTAGCTGGTATAGTGCTGTGGTTTGGATTTAGGATGAGAATAACGTTGATAACACACTGATGTTTTAGTTGCTGCTAACTAGTGCTTACACTAGTGAAGGACTTCTCAGCTTCCCCTGCCCTGCCAGCAAGAAGCTGAGAGGGAGCACAGCCAGGACAGCTGACCAGACTGGCCAAAGGGCTATTCCATACCAGGTGACGTCATGCTCAGTATATAAACTGGGGGAGTTGGCTGGGGGGCAGCGATTGCTGCTCGAGGATGGGCTGGGCATCAGTCTATAGGTGGTGAGCAATTGTACCGTGTATCACTTGCTTTGTATATTATTACTGTATTATTATTATATTATTACTATTATCATTATTATTACTACTACTACTATTACTACTATTCTATTTTATTTTACTTCAATTATTAAACTGTTCTTATCACAACCCACGGTTTTTCTCGCTTTTACCCTTCCAACCCTCTCCCTTATCCCACCGAGCGGGGGAGCGAGCGAGCGGCTGGGTGGGGCTTAGTTGCCAGCTGGGGTTAAACCACGACATAGAGAAAGAAACATGCACCAGGAAATTGTGTAATCCGAGCGGGGGAGTGAGCGAGCGGCTGTGTGGGGCTTAGTTGCCGGCTGGGGTTAAACCACGACACGGAGCTGGTGCTCTATGCAGTAGTCATCCACTGCCACCTTCTGTTGGGCTAGGCAATGCAGCACATTAAAATAACATTACATCTTGTCACAGTATCTTTTTGTTACTGCTCAACAAGGAAAGACTTTCTTAGCTTTGGGGAAAAAAAGAAAACTTTAAAGCAACGAGCATAATTACTGCACTAATTCACTACGTCTTTTGTACAATCACTTCATAATGTCACTTTAGTAACTTGAGAAAGAGTCTGATCTACATGAACTTTCAAAGCCTTGGCTTTGAAATTAAGGTACAGGACCCTTGGGAGCATTCAGTAGTAGTATGCTAGTTAATTGTTTAGGGAGATCAGTGGGATGAAGATAAAACCATTTAGCAGATATAGGAGCATAGTAATGAACCCATCACTTCTATTCCTAAAATTCCCCTGTATTACCTAACAGCAGTGTGCCAGTGGACACTGAAGTTCTAAGCTACCATTTTTGCTCCCCAGCCTTTCCTATGTCTATTACCTGTTTCACATCTCGAACTAGGTGATGCAAAAGTAGATTTGATGGTCCTTGTTTCTGTGGTGTGAAAAGAAAAGACAGTAAACAAACATGCCACTCTACATTAGAAAATCAACACAGTAAAAGAAAGCAGCTAAAAGATCTTCAGGATAAACTATTGTGATTCAAACTCTCCCCACGCAAACTCTCTCCACAAACCTCTTCAAAAACATTTCAGCACCAATCTGCCACACCTCTACTATCTTAAATCTTGACATATTCTAGAAAGAAGTTGGTATCACTTTGGTTAAACAACATATAATTTTGAGCAAGATAAGCATGTATCACATACCAGATTAAAATCAGAGCATATTCTCATGAGCTTCAGGTGAGTACTCAGTCTGGTTCATGTCAATGAATCGAAAATAAAAAGCACTAATCCAAAAATCTAACTTTACAATCAAAAATTATCAAAATCCATTAATTTTTAATTTTTTAAAAAAATACTTCATAATAATGTGGCTTAATTATCAAATCTCTTAAGCCAAACAGTATTCTTTCTAGGCATTTTTATCTAAAGTTGTACACTGGGATTTCAAATACTCACTGTATTGTAGAGTTCTTCTAAACGAGATATGGTAAGAAAACGGTGCATGTTCACTCCATGCTCTATTAATAGCTTCACAAAATCCACACGGTCCATCACTAAAGCATCCAGCATTGCCTGTTCCAAGGCACCAACCTCCAGAAGGACAAAGATGAAGGAAAAGCTTAGAAAATTATTATCTTCTTCTGGAAATAAATAAAACATTCCTGAACAGCTAGGGACCTCTTTATCACAACAATTTGTCTTTACGTATATTTAAAGTGCACAGTTCAAAATAAAAATATGCTGGAGGAAGAATCTGTGTAAAAAACCCAACAGAGAAGGGAAGTAAAACTGAGTGTCCATAAACCCAATGTCTGTAGAGACTCCTACAAATCTAACTTTACAACCAGACTCTGATAATACATTCCTTACTCTTTAATTCACTTCAGAAGCTAATGTATGATAATGCAGGGGGCAGAGGGAAGCCTTTCTTTTTTGACATATGACAAAAGCCATTTTAAGCTACTGTATTTCAAGATCTCTCTATAGAACTTGAAGTTCTTTAAAGTAGACTTCTTTTCAAATATGAGAGAGAATCTGCATTAGGATAAACTCCCTCAAAGACACCGCGAAGCAGAGCTCTACCTCCATCAGTGTCCAAATGGTGAAAGCACTCTACTCATGGCACTTCCACAGAGCTCAGCAGGATTTCTACATGCAAAATAGCAAAGGAGTTGGACATATGAGGTTCATATAAATCCATATAAAGAATTTCTGCAGAACACGTATGCACAGAAAATGCAGTGGGGTGAGCAGTATGAGGATGCTGGCACACAAATGGGGCAGGTGCTAGTGCTAACTTGGCACATGAAGTTAGCCCTTTCCATGTACATGTCTATGTTTGGCAGAAGTGATATTAAAACGTAACCAATAACTGTCACAGAATTGTCACATGTGAAAAGAAAACTTGTGTACTGTTCCTGAATTATCGGTGTTTCTTCCAGAAATATCTCAAAGTGACCGTTCTTGTATTAAAGTTCCTTGAGCAGTCATTCCTTGGGCTGGCAGTGTGTCAAAAGAGGTTTAGACAGCTGTGCGGTAACTACTAGAATGACCTTCTTTGTTGTAAAGGCCATTTGAGACTGGGCTGACATTTAAGTAGAAACATAGTTACAGCTGGTTACAATCTTTACCTTCTGAACTTTTAGGACCAGAGTTCTAAAAAGAAATGGCCACAATCTGTGCATAATTGTGCATGTTTCCTTAAAACACTTAAATAGACAGAAAAATACTAAGACTGCATGGACAATCACCTAAAAACTGCTGCTTAAATATCTAATTCAAAATTTGAACACAGAACCCAATAGCCATGCACAAACTGTAGACCCTGACAATTACAGGTCTGGAAGACCCTGACAGTCAGAGGCGTACTCCTCTTTAATTAAGAAAGCAATTAAGTCAAAAGCAAACTTTAAAACTGTGCTTGTGCATTTTCTTTTTTTTTCCTCTTTTTTTTTTCCTTCTTTACAATGCACAAAGGAAATAGTTATTTAAGATTTTTTTTCCTGCTTAGTCAAAAGAAAAACTTTCAGGAATATATGTCATTCTATTTTTTGCTTGAAGAAGCAGCAAGAGATGTAAGGCTTGTTTATTATGAGCTCTTTACATCTTACTTGAAGGGGTGAACATACTCATTATTTCACAATGACTTTTCATTCAAAATGGTGCTGAACAATTGCACTGAAATAGATATGAACAGGTACATAGATCTTTTTCAAACACATCAGAAGCAGAGGAGCGGGAATAGGGGGACTGCCAGTGAATTTGTAAGGCCAGAGGATGATCAAGGTACAAAAGAAACATGCAAGGAGATAAGACTATTGCAGAAATGGTAAATTAATTCATTGCCTCACTGCTTACTACAGAACATGTTAGGAAAGGTCCTACATCAAAGCTGTTCTTTATGGCAGACAAATCTGAGGAACTGTGTCAAACTGAAGTGTCAGTAGAAAAGATTATAGAAGTCATCCGTAAAGTGGCAGCAAATTGTCAGAACCAGGTGGTATTCACCTAGGAGTTCCCAGGGAACTGAAATATAGCTGAAACCAGCCCCTCTAACAGCAGAATGGAAAACGGTAGAAAACATGCCAATTGTTAAAAAAGACAAAGGAGTGTACAAGTTGTCAAAGTATGGCATATCAATACAATTAGAACTTTGTAAGGACAAATATAACAAAACTACAATAAGTAATAGCAATAATAGCAACATGGGTAAATACAGTAAAGTAAGAAGAAGCAAGGCAGTTATTTTGTAGAACAAAATCATAACTCTACCAGAATTTTGGCAGGGACAATGAGGATAAGGCTGTCCTGATTGATACAGTACATTTGTATCCCCATAAAAGCTTTTGATGATGGCTTTCTTGAAAGACTTCTCAGCAAATTAAGCTGTCACAAGCCAAAAGGTCCTCCAATTGTTTAATAACTGATAAAGTGGTAGGGAAAAAGATTATTAATAGTGATGGGAGACCAAGAAAATCCCACATACTGAATACTGACTTGACAATACTTGCTGATGATACAAAAATACTCATCATAATAAAAGCAATTGGGAAGAGGTGCAGAAAAATCCCATAATATGGGCTAACCAGCCAAAAAAGCAGGTGAAATTCAATATTGGTAAAAGTGAAATAATGTGCATGTCGGTAACAACCCTACCTGCATGTCAGTCTTGAAATTAACTCAGAAAAAATGTTAGTGGACATATCTTTCGAAAGCATGAATATAAGCTGGATATAAGTTGAAAACAAGTAAAAAAGGCATACAGACTGTTAGGATTTATACCTAGATGAATACAGAATAATGTATAAAATATTAATATTTCACTAAATATCTCAGTGAAGAACCCCCATATCCTGAATACTGGGTAAAGTGCTGGTCTGCCTATTCCAAAAGATGACTTTAAGACCTGAAAAAAGTACACAGAAGAGCAGAAAAGATTGTCAGACATATGGAAAAACTGAGCAGATAATCACCTTGGGAAAGCCAGGAGTGAAGAGTGGGGACTATGCAACAGTACTTGGAAATATGCTGGTCAAAGCAGTGGGGAGCAGGAAAATGTTATTCGTTACTTCCCATACACATAGAATCATAGAATCACATAGGTGGAAAAGACCTTTAAGATCATCGAGTGCAACCATAAACATAACACTGCCAAGTCCACCACTCAACCATGTCCCTAAGTGCCACATCTACACATCTTTTAAATACCTCCAGGGATGGGGACTCAACCCCTTCTCTGGGCAGCCTGTTCCAGTGCTTGATAATGCTTTCAGTGAAGAAATTTTTCCTAATATCCAATCTAAACCTGCCCTGGTGCAACTTGAGGCCATTTCCTCACATCCTACCACTTGCTACTTGGGAAAAGAGAATGACACCCACCTCGCTACAACCTCCTTTCAGGTAGTTGCAGAGAGCGATAAGGTCTCCCCTCAGCCTCCTTTTTACAAAGGAACAGAAGGCATCATACAAAAACGTCAGAAAGCAAACAGCCACTGAAATTTAACATTCTGTGTAAGATCTCTTTATTTAGCACAGCCTTTGATTCCGTTTCCCACAGCATTCTCCTGGTTAAACTGGCTGCTTATGGCTTGGATGGGCGTACTCTTTGCTGGGTAAAAAACTGGCTGGATGGCCGGGCCTAAAGAGTTGTGGTGAATGGAGTTAAACCCAGTTGGTGGCCAGCCACAAGTGCTGTTCCCCAGCCAGTTCTGTTTAATCTTTATCCGTAATCGGGGGGAGGGGACCAAATGCAC